TTTCATACCATTACACTATGTCATATATTGTTAACTTCCTGAATTTCACTGCCAGCCATATCTCATGTATTCTACACTAATATGTCTCATAATTTTCTATATCACAGCGATATCCACATTCCAGCCAAAACTGATCAAATTTTGGTGAAAATATCAACAATAGAATAATGCAAATTACCACAAATTAGATTAAAATCGTAACATTGCATCATATGCCTACTCCCCCCTCAACCTGGATTCACGGTGCTTGCTGTTGTAGGTTGGAAGAGACCGAGGTGTGATCAATCCAAGCGATAGCTTTTGTCCCTGAAGTCATTGACATTTGACCTGATTCGTGTTGCTAGGTGCGGATTGTCGGCTTAAGATCCACACGATTATCATGACTTAATTCAGGATCTCACTCAATAGCTAAAATGTATCCACTTTTTGTCTTCCCCTAGATTATTAGTTTCGCGCATATCTTATACTTTATAATTTCACAAATTCATACTTTCATCTCGAATTATATTGTCAATGCTTAGTGTTTTCTACTAACAATGATACTGTAGTGAACAAGAACACGAGTGGAGACAATCGGATGTATTTGACACGAAATTACAGAGCATCTCGATAAAATCGGAGAACCATTTTGTAAATAGTTAATTTGCAAAATATTAGTCCATTGTCTCAGATTTGATCGTTCATCCATCTTCATACCAATTGCGTTCCATTCCCGTTCTTTCCTTTTCGATCTTCTACTGAAATACATTCTATGCCTGATCACCGTTATATACTACTTATGTGGATATAAGTAACCCACGCAACAATACTATTACTATTTCTACAACTCGGACATTTTACTGTGCTCATACAGCGTGATAAAATTAATCGACACGCACATATATATATACCGAGTTCTACATTATTTATGATAAACTTACTGTTCATAAGTTGTTATCATTACATAAAATAATTTACCTTAATTTAACGTATCATGTCTATTAGGCAACCTCAACCGATGTCCATACATATCAGGTTTTATGTCGTGACTAACTGAACATTTTATTGTCAACTCAATTTTTTTCCTATATCTACGTACATATATATGTATTTATATAAATATCTACAATCTTCTAAGGTGCCTACACTAAAATTCATGGTAATCGTAAGTTCACTAAATAGATATAAATAAATTGGTCAATGCCATTTTCATTCAGTTTATTACTTATTTCAAGAAAAAAAAGAGAGAACATTCTGATTAGTTCTTGTTTAATCTGCATGGATGATTATTGATTGAGTGTAAAAGAAGAATTGTCTTGTCTCGAATACAATGTAGACATTTTATTTTTTTCTCTCTTCTGTTTGATCTCTCTTTTTTCCTACATATAATTCTGTTTACAATACCTTTTGTTAATAAATTTTGAAAAAGGAAATCAAGTCTCTTTTTAGATTTTCACTTCATGAATGCCATCTATATGTGTGTAATACTTTCCATACAACTTTTTTTGATTCATGGATAGATCATGTTTATTCATTTATTATACTAATGTAATTGTATTGTGCATTGTCTATAGATGGAATTACTACTAACACTACTCGTTATTATGATTCATGCATGTCTTTTTGGAATCATTCTTTTTATTTTTAATTCCAATCTTTGAAGAGTAAGAAATATATGCATGTTTCCTACTATAAAGCCAATGAATTGAAATCGTCTGTCTATCGGAAAAGCGACTTCTAAAATTTCTTGAATTAAACATTTTTTGAATGTGAGTAGATGAAAACTCAGATGATTAGTATACTTTGTGCCATTTCATAAATGAAACAATAGTTTTTAGTGACCGACTGATCTGACTTCGATTTGGATGAACAAGTGAATAATATCATGAATATAAATCTTTCATTTTGTATTTTACTTAGGCTAACTCTATTTGTGCGACAGCGGTAACACGAAGCCTAATGTGGTTTGAGTTGTGTGAATTCATTTCAGGCACAGGTTAATTCAGATAGATATTAAGAATAAGAAGCGGGAAACGAAACGAAACAAAGCAGAGAAAGCAAGCTTGACTTAAGATTTGTAACGAGACAAAAATAAGCTGAAGACATATGATAAATAGGTTAAACGATACGCACACATGTTTGTATAAAAAAACAATCAAGGTTATAAGCGAACAATTGATAAGGTCAATATATGGCTGAAGAAAATCAAATTAATTGGTCTATTCGAAAGCCAGAATAACTCATGTGGGTTTGACACTACAAGTTGTCCATCTAAGTCAGTAAAAGTTAGTTACGCGATTTCGCAATCTGATTGAAGTTAGACATATACAACGTCGATTCTGGACTAGGTGTTCTTCGGGTAACTGATGGTCCTTAGTCTGACTCCTTGTTGTGATGGTCGTGGATGCTTTTGGAAAAAAAACATGTTCAGTATTTCTGGTTTTTATTCGATGTTGAACTTGTGTAGATTTATAATACTAATGACGGTCATAAACTAGGCTGACATTGTTTACTTATCTGCTCTTTGTAATAATCGACATGCATTGTATTCCAGTACTGAAGTTACCAAGTAGTATATTTCGATTAATCACTAATTTTTTTTTAAAAAACTTACTTGTTTCATTCAATTTGAAATGTGATCAGTTGAAAAGTATGAACAGCAGAATTATCCAAACCATTTCAGATTAAATTACTGCTTATACCCGTTGTACAAGTGAATGGCTATCTGGATTCATTAGCTAAGTGGACAACATTATGTTGTTTGAAAAAAACGGTACTGGGTTCCAGTCTCGGAGTAGATATCAGCTCACTCCAAGTTGCAGGTACTTCCAACTGACGCATCCTAAATTCCACTACTAGCTACATTCCATCTATTCTATAATTACCTGGTGTTACTTCCCGTAATAAGAATTCTAATCCAAATTAATCTGATATGTGATTTCCAATGTCTAGTTAGTACATGAACCGTTTTTTTTTTTGTAAGTATTAATGGACTTTAACTCTGATCAATCATTCATCAACACTACACCAGTCAAATTCACTAATATTCATGTTTCACTTAAATTAATTGTCTTATCACTGTATATTTCTCATCCAATACACAGTAAATAACATTCGTAAATCACTCGTAAATAATCCTATTTGCCTCCAATTGTACGTCTTAACTCAATAAACCATATGGTTATTTTGTAACTTTTTTCCATAATATTCTGTTTGTTTGTTTTTGTTTCTTGCCACATCATAAATTCGTAACTACTGTTCAGTAATCTGACAATATTGATTATTAATATTGTACTTTAGATTAGCATATTTATGATTAGATTGCATAATTTGACGTTTATTATTATTATTATTATTATTATTATTATTATTATTATTATTATTCATCGGACATCATTTATGCTGTCTGTATAATGTCTTAATAGCTTAATGTATGTGTTTATAAACAAAGCGATTCTGTTAAATAAACGTAGGTGGATAGCAAAAATTTTCACATAGACAATATTTAACATAGAAATAATATTACATTAGCGAACTTATGAATACATAATACAGTGGCTAGATTGATATTTAGTGGGACATAATTCATTTAGTTGGTACATTTATGCTAACCCCTATGGTTGATCATCCCCTGTTACGGCCGATGGTGAGGAGAGTACGTTCTCCCTCTTGAAACGCTCTCATATCGCCACGAGTTATTATCATTCGAGGTACATACTAATTTGTACAACGGGTATGAATTTCATATGTGTTAAGAACGTGTATGTTCACTTCGTTAATGTTAAGCACTTTTCATGGAGTTCACATATGCCAGTAGAAGCTAATCCTTTACAATCACGGAAAAAACCTAAACTATGTCTTGAATGTTTGTACTTTTTCCATTTTTTAAATCCACTATAATGTGATGTTAGCTGGTTGATAGTAGTCGACAAGAAATAGTAAATGACCTGTTGAATAGTTGCGAAGTATTGCTTAGAAAACTTCATAGGAACATTTTATCAAGTCAACAGTGAATAGAAACACCTAAAAAGCGAATAATTATGTGTCACTTTTCTGATTGGATAGTTATTCATACCGCTGCTAGAAAATTCTAGTAGCCTAAGGTTGTCTGTTATACCGTAAATACCCTCATTTTTCTGTACATAAACTAACCTGGAAGTAAAACGTTCCTCCCTCACTTCGCGCCACTTTCTTGTGTTCAAGTTTCAGTTTAGATTTAGCCTGGGATTATTAGAAGCGGCTAGGAAAGCGATTCGAATGTTCAGTTAAAAGACTTATCAGACCTAGGTTTTGTTCAACTTGACAATTGGTCGACAAGACGTACCTACAATTTTGAGGGGACTTATGGTTATTGCTGTATTTAAACCCGCGTCACTCAGTTTTGTAGTCTGTAACGTTACTTCTTGATATGTTTGGATCGTTATGTATTACGAATCATTAACTTATCATAAATTTGAAGTTTAGCATTAATGATGTAATCTCATTGGTACTTAAGTGTACTATCGGGGGAACTAGTAACGTTTGTTTTTGGAAGCCAGTTACATTGAAATATCTAGGACTGGGCGTTACATTATCAAATTTTTCAGTTCATATGCATCTTTTTAACAACGTCTTCAGTAGTTCTTATTTAGAAAATGATAAGGAGATTCTGACATGTATGGATCAGTGATTTTGTAACATAGGCTACAACTATTTTCCAACTCTACACTCAAAGTTTGTTATTGCCTTTCTACACTAGTGTTTGCAGTTATCCGTCAATAGATGTAATGTATAAAACAAATGTATGCAACTGATTTCCACTGTTTGTGTGTGTATGTACATATACCTGATTGTATTTGCTTGCTTCGTTTTGATTTTATCTTTTTTTGTTCTGTATGTATAAAGACTACTCATTTCACGATATACTATATACTCATATATAATTGGATTATCCTGACAAGTCATGCTTATCTAAATTAATTGTTCTCTTCTCTTCGTTTCATCTTTGTTTTTCATCATTCCTATCTTCTTTTTGTATTTAGATAATACACTAACGATAACTAATGTTACTGTACAGGATATAGGAGTTTATCAATGTATTGCACATCGATGGGATCCTGATCCAGATCTAGAAGAATGGGTATCAGCATCAGCTGTACTAGCAATGAGTTCTGATAAACTTATTCGTACACGTAAGTTAGATCATTTAGCTTTTGTTATTAGCAGAGATAAATAGTGGTTAGCAGTGAAATTCAGAACCTGCGTGTCGTTCCATTTGAGACTCGTCAGCTGGACTTATCTGCATTCTAGAGTGAGCTGATGTTCACTCTAAGACTCCAGCTCAGTATATTTTTTTGCTTCAAACTCCATCGCGTTACGCGGAATGAGCTCTGGTATCCAGGTTTATTTAGCTGACAAATCCTTAATAGGATGAAACGCACATCCTAGACTTTACTGCTAGCTACCATTCATCTCTGCCTATGAAATGTTTGTGACTTAATGCCAATATCGAGACGATTCGCGCAAGATATGTCTAAAAAAGGCTGATCGATTTCAGTTCTAAATATCAGTGGGGAGATCTAAACAACCAATACAAATGTCTATTTTGTTGCTGCTTCGGAAATTTATTTTAAGCTAAAGTGGTTTTTTGTTATATATGCATATATAATTGTACACAAGTGTGTGCGTGTGTGCGCGCAATTATTCATTTACATGAGTGAACATGATTTCTATTTACTTAAACAATTTATCCCATCCACACATTGTTTTCTCCATAAGTCAGTTTATCCATCGTGTTGTAAATGTTTAAGTAGTATATTATATCCAGCGCTTTCAACCGATTATCCGTTCATTTAGTGAGTGATCACTGCCTATTAATACGTAGTTCTCACTAGACATTTCATTCCAAGTTTCTGCTGCTATTCACGACTATAAAGTGTGAAGATGTTAGTGTGGCACAGACCAATATGCTGGATACATAACCTAAATATTTTGTAAGATTAAACTTAAAATAAAATCTTTATTGAAAATTGCACTTTGAGAGGCAGTAATTGTTCATTAAATAGGTAGAAAAATAGCCAAAATGACTAGATATAAAATATTAGTTGTATTGTGAGAATGTGATAGAAAACTTTAATAATATTGGGAAAAAATTGTGCAATTGAGATCACTTTAAAGAGGAAGAATATATTTATAAAATCTCAGCGAAAGAATTTGAAGTAAACCCAACATTTCGCCTGGCAATCTGGTCCAAGCTTTTTCAAGGATGACTTTAGTTGCACAAAATTATGTTTATCCTTACAAATGAAAAATATTTATTGAGATCATGAACCAATCGATTTTGGATCACCAAAAACCTGGAAACATAGGACGGCCATTATGTTCTATCGTGGAATTCTTCAGCAGTGCTCATCCACGACTTGGACTTGGACAAAGGACCCGCGAACTCGAGAGAACGCATAACTGCTAGACCTATGAGCCGGGGTCGCACGTTCTTAATCTCTGACTTCAACCAATCTACGATATTGCATGCCTATCTTGGTTGAAGTTAAACATTAACTCCATTGGATCCTGGCTAAATGGTCTAGATGCTGGAGGTTTGTATACGGGACCGAAGCTCCTGGGTTCGAGTCCCGCGTGCTGGATCTTGGATGCACACTGCTGGGTAGTTCCTTGCTAGAACGAAATGGCTGTCCAGTGTTTCCAGGTTTTTAATGATGGTCAAACACTGATCGGTTCGTAATCTCGATAAAAGCTCAACAATCCCCTCAACCGTGTACTGAAGAATTCGTAATCACATACAGGTACATACCTTTTGTGCCTACAATATATATATATATATATATATATATATATATATATATATATATATATATATCCACATTCTAATTACGCTGTTCCGTGACTATCTATCGCTAGATGAATTGTTGATTATAACTAGTGTTCAGCCTGGATTAACTAATAGCTAGTGATAACAACGTAAATTAAAATGTCATTTCTCTCTGTTTTTCTCCCACACCCACTTGTTTGGTAAATAGATTTTCGTTTTTGTTGTTCTTACAAATATTTACACATTTTCTTATTCATTTTGTTTCATATTAAATATATATTTTTATTAATTAGCTCAAGAATTAGCCTTATTATTGCCAACATCGAAACAAGCAATCATGGAGGTGAAACCACCAGGTAATATTTTCAATGAAATAAATCATTCATATTTGTTAAAGTTTAATCATACGTTGTCGTGAATTATCTGTAGTTGTATATACATATATTAGGTGGTTGGATGAAGTGAACAGTAGACTCTGAACGTAAGTTTCGTTCTAGCTGGTACTCATCACTAATGTGTACCTGTAACTGTAAAAGCAAACTAATGCTTTTTATAGGATTCAGATAAGTAATTCTTACAGTTTAAATCGTGAACTAATCTTATATAGATCACTATTAAACACCTGGAAGCACTAAACAGACATTTTATCGTAATATGGAAATTCTCAGTGGTCAGTTGACATCCAGGATTCGAACTCAGCACATTCCGTCACGCAAATGGACAGTTAACTTCTAGACCACTGAGTTTGAATCCAACGATATTAATTCTTAACTCAATATTTCCTGTTTGAAGTGGTTATTGACCGAACTAGAGCAAATATTGATAAAAATGGTATAATTGTACTCCTTGTGGGTTGACTAAATAACTGCAGTAATATTTCTCACTTCTGAGATAGAAAACAGTTTAAACATAAAGCTTTATGTTTTATTCTTGCCTAAACAATCATGAAACATTACTAGTGAGCTACTCAGGCTATAATTGTCACGAATTCTAATCCCATATTGGAAAGCATCAGTTCAGTCCTCTCAAGTTTGCAGGTGTTTATAACCTTAATGATGAATCTCAACACCAACAAGTAATTTATATCCAGATTGTCTTCCCGATTAGGATAGTTTAATACTGACCAATTATCTAAATGTTGTGTATTGTTTGCTAAGATGTTAAAATTTGACGTTATTTACAGTTAGCTCAATTATATAATTTCATAAATCTACTTTTTCCATGCATTATGTTAGAAGGCTATTTTTTTGTCTAGATTACTATTTCTTCTTTAATATCCTATTACATTGTTTCTTTTGTAATGTAATTCAGATTCGAGATAATAATGCACACTAGTACGTTTCTATGGAACAGGTGTTTACGGGTTTTTTTTTCTTTTTTTATGAACATAGATACAGACATATATGTATATATAGCGTATTTCAATGAAACATTCCATTGAATATTCATTATTTCTTATTTCATTATATTCATACATCTGTTTAATATGAATAGTATAATTGGATTTGGCATAAAATGTGTAAAAAAAATTTCTTTATTTGTAAGCAAACTAAATGTTTTGCAAGTTTTTTCCTGGGGGGGGGGTTAAACTACAATAACATATTCACAGAAGACATGTAGAGGATATCTTTAAGATTATTGAGGTGAAATCATCAATGGAGAATATGCCATATTGACACATTAAAAAAAAAACAGGAAACTTCTTGAGATTTCTAGTTTTTTGTTTATTGAATATTTGATGAAAGGATGGTTATACTTAAACAGTTCATTCATATTAATCATTTAAATTAGTTGTAGTGAACGAGAACTCAGGTGGAACATACCCTGGCCTGGTATGGCCGAGAGTGGGGTGGGCCCGCCCTCCCTCTCGAAATGCTCCCACATGGCCACGCGTATACAGCCTCTGCCAGGGGAGTCCTACTCACTGCCTTCTCGTGACGGGGGCGTTGTTTACGAAAATGAGAGGACGACGCCTTAGTCGGACCCCAAACCAATGGTGCACATGGGCTCCAGTATCCTGAGGGAACAAATGGCGTATGAACCAATCGTTGGTCACCGGCTACCATGGGACTGCATCTTCTCACGATGCTCCACTGCCTTGTGTGGGTTAGATCTTCAGGTCAAAGGCTCCGGATGTTGCCCCCTAAGAAAACCACCTGCTTCGGTTGGGCACCCGGGCAGTATCCCAGCCCTCACACATGTCAAATGAGATTTGTTTGGCGCATATCTAATGGATGCCTCGTTGTACCAATATCTATGTATTCAAATAAATAATAAATAAAAATAAGAACTCAGATGGGGACAACCAGTTTGTTATTTCATACGAAATTACAGAATATCTTCGTAAATTATGAGAACTGTATACATTAAGTGCTTAATTTGCATATCTTCCATCAGTTGTCCTTTACATTCTGTTTAATTCTTTCAATTCACAATTTTTTTCTATTTCCCTTCCTGTTTTTTTTTCAATTCAACCTTCTGTTGCTAAACCTTCCACTCCTGATTGGTGTTACATACTACTTATATCTGTCAGCATAAGTAGCATACACCACATAGTTATTAATCAAATTACAATGAATATTAAGAAAGGATTTCATATCTGGACTGACTGAATAACTGTGTAGTAACATTTTTCATTTCTAAACATAAAACTTCTCATTGGATACAGTATAACATGTTATCGTCAAGTGTCTTTCAATGTCAAAGATCTACAATGTACATCTTGATCATTACTCAACAGCTTACCATTATTATTATGATTCTCTGTCTCACTATTACATGATTTGTCTCAACTAATCCTCTTATATTAACTGTATACATCACATTGTGATCTTTGACGAATTAGTATTGAAGTTGTTAGTTGTCACATCTCATTCTACTCTTCATCGTCAATCAGTAACTAGTCAATTAGTCATAGACAACAATTATTATGTCGGTCCGCATTAACTTATCAGTATGAACAACAACTGGGTAAAGTACAAACATAAATCGATTGCTATGAGGTCAATAAATGGGTGACGTATTACTACTTCATAACACAAAGTTTAAAGCTTAAATGGGAAGAAAAAAAATGGATGTCATAACTTTAGGTCATTTGTTTTAACCATAATACATCAACTCTAGATATAATGATTATCTTGTGAACTTGCACACAGTGTTGTATATGTGTCTACACCACCATCTGGCTTACCATGATTCTAACCAACTTTGTCAATTCGTTGCTCGCGTAATTAATTGAAGTTAGACATGTACATCATTAAATTCTTGGTTCACTTATCTGAAGGTTGAGCATTTACACATGAACCCGAACATCCAAGTTTTGATTACTTGTATTGGGGTCCCATACTAGGATGAAACAGCTGTCCAGTGCTTCCAGGTTTTCAATACTTGTCTAGGTTAGATTAGTTCGTGATCACAATAAAACTTGTTTATATTTTGCCCACCCACTAAATAGAATGATTCTTACAACAAAATAAGTTTTTTTTTCTGGCTGTTAGTCATTTTACTTACATATCTCCATGTTTATTTGTAAATTTCACAAGATTTTGCGTGCTTTTTCACTCGAAAATAAATAGAGATATGACTAATATACATTGATGGTATTCCCCCTCCCCCTTTTTTTTGATTTATTTTTCCATATTAGTATTAACGTTTTACAATTAAAACCCTATATATTAGAATGAATGTGTATTTCCCATTTGGGAGGAAATTTCGATTTCTGTCTTGTTTATATATTGAAACGTGTACATATGCCTTTTGCATTAAATATTATTTTGGCGTATCGATAAAATCGAGTCAGTGAAGCCAAATATAAACTTTTTGGCAGAAGAATAGGAAGGATACACAATCCGCCTACATCCTCTCTCTCTCTCTCTCAAACATCTTTAATTTCTGTTTTATTTACACTCCTTTTTTTTACCTCCTATACTTTACTAACTGACTAATCAATTATTTATTTATTATCTATCATTATTACTGTTATCATCACTTTGTTGTTGATGTGTATATGTATGTGTATATGTGTGTGTGTGACTCATACCACTGTTAATTTTATTAACTTGGGAGAAACAACAGTAGATATACTTATGTATATTATAAATAGGGGAAACTAGTATGGAGATAGGTGTTTCCTTCTGTATGAATGTCTATTTCATTTTCGTCTTGTGTAAGAGAACATGGAAACGAGATATAGATTAAGTCATATTTGATGAAGATGGTTCAACGCTTAAATTATTGTTAGAGAGTGAATTGGTCAAATGTCTGATGCACTTCATTTATCTTAGAAGTTTCATCATCTCTGAGGATTAGTGTTTAACGAAATCTTTGCACATAGATTCAGAATACTTGTTTGATTTTGTCAACCTACGGTATTTATGGCATAGGCGAAATGTCCGTCTACCAAAAAAGTGGGTTGCTGATACATTTGCTTATTGTTTTCTTTTCTATCCTGAATTTCAAAATCATTATGTACCTTTTATCTGCAATTGAATTCTTTATTCTCAAATCACACACTTTATCTTGAATATTTTTTTACGCTCACTAATATAACTTTTAATTCAGTAGTGATCTTTGATGTACTGTTAATTGTATGGCGATTTGGACCAATGCACTTATAATGTCAGGTATCTACGTTGCTTATGACTGACTACATATTTAATTCGTCTCTGTTCAATTATCAAATAGTTGTACAATCGGATTGATTGACAATCAAAAATGGTTGACTTTAACTTTCACTGTTATTCATTCTTTGCTGTTTTCTTTTTCCTCAATTTCAACTGTCACGTAAAATAGTTATTTTGTTGTTTTGAACGTCTTAATATGGTTCCAGTTGACCTCATTTCACACTGAATCCGACATTTTAGTTCACGAGTCTTTGTGAAATCCACTTTTTCGACTTTTGAGTTAAATGTCCCAATTAGTTGTATTTCAACGATTTACATCCTGAGCTACTGATTGACAATATTCACCAACTTATTATTTATATTCTTCATCAACAAGCGAACTCATAAACTCTTACAAATAACTCCATTGACACTTGAAATGCCAATACTCTTGTTATGGATTCTACGCTGATAACCCTTTATGCAAAAATATATGGATTATGGTTGTGATATTAAGATATTCACTTCTCCAACAACAACAAAAAAAAAGAAGAAAGCGCATATCCTAAATGAGTTTGATGAAAGGATTGATTGTCCATACCAATACAACAATAAAACACAAATTCTAGTAAATAGTAAATAAGGTTTAAAAAATAATAAACGAATTCCCGATAATTCATTCGTCTTTTACCAGATAATTTTATTTCATTTTTTGATTAAGAACATGAACCGATTGATGTTAGACCACTATTGGAGCTAATCCGTGTCTGGTAGAGACCGGTATCTACCTCAGTACAATGGATGATGGTCGCGCAATTTCGTGGATTGGTTGAGGTTAGAGATTAACACTATTGGATTCCGACTCAGTGGTCCAGTAGGTTAAGCATTCGCGCGCGAGGCTGAAGATCCTGGGTCCGGATCCCTCTCGCGGGATCGTGGATGCGTTGTTGTGGAGTCCCACGATAGGACGAAACGGCCGTTCAGTGCCTCCAGGTTTTCAATGGTGGTCTAACATCAATCGGTTCATAATCTCAATCAAAAACTTAATAATTTCCACAACCCCTATACTGATAATTTTATTTATCTCTTTCCAAGTATCTATATCTTATTTTATCTAGTCCTCTGTATTTTATCGTCATTTTTTCTCTTCCTCTTATCATTTAGAAATAATCACCGATAGTTTAACACCGATTGCTGAACCAGTTTATGATAATTTAGCAGTGTATATCACATGGAAAGCATATACTATCACTACTCCTAATAAATTGGAAACACAAACTCATCATGATGGTGATGATGATGTTATCGGTAGCGATAATAATAATAATAGTCCTGATAATAACGCTGGACAAATTGCTTACCATGTTGAATATTCCATGCAAATAAGTCCTGTTGAAAGACAATATATCAATTCTAATCCAAATAACAATGTTGCTGATAATACCAATAATAATAATGGTAGTAGTAATAATGATCATCTTAATAATAAGCCATCCTCTGAATTATCTGATTTGCCTGCTTTAATCGGATTAATTGGTCATGAGGCTATCCTGTGGAGTGATCCAACTGCACTTAATCAACAAGTAAGTTTTCCATATACACATTTATTTTTCTTTGTCATATTAGGGGTGAATTTATCATATATCCTCGTTTTAATATTGAATACTTTGCATTAATCGTGAAACAGTTTGTAAAATGTAGATAAGCATGTTATGTTGTGCGAACTGCCTTTATACGTGCTGATCGTGTTTCTCCCATGAAAAAAATGGAGCTTAATTTTGGCAAATAGTGTACACTTGTCTTTTGAGCCAACTTTGATTGACAAAACATATCAAAGCAACGTTCACACAATAAGCACACATTACTATGGAGTCATTTGTTGAATAGAATGGATTAATTGTGATTAGTAGTGGAATCTAGGATCCATGTTTTGTCTTACATGGGACTCGTCACCTGAATGAAACTGCACTCCAGTATTATTGATGTTCACGTTCGGATTCGTTATTTTTTACTTTCAATCCCCAACGCGTTATCGATAGACACTGTAGTATTTGAATGCTTCGCGCATATACACCGGCTTATGCGACATGATTTAAGAGATCAAGTAATGATTATTCAATACTCTGCCAGAATAATTTCCACCAATTAAGGTGGCTAGGACCATTTGGTACGTATGCCCAGCCACCGCTTACCGTGATGAGCAATGGTGTAGGTGTATGTTGGAAGAAATCTAACGTCGACCAAGCCAAAATGTGACATCAGTTCATGAATTTATTGAGGATTTTAATGGGGCATGTGAGTAGTTGCAGGTGTAGGCCACCTAATGGTGAAGGGGCTTGATTCTCGTGATTATCGGAACAGATGGTTAGAGATTTTGTGTGACAGCATAGACTAATTCACAATGGCGTAGTTCCATTAACTATTTGTCTTCCTTAACAGCTTAAGTCTCAACATCTCCCTATTACTTTATATTTTCTTTTTCTTCTACTACTACTCTGGGATTCATTTTCAATCTGTTTTATACCACTGCTAATGTCGTATGACAACTTGAACTGATGCATGTTATGCGTCAGATTCCACGTTGCATGCAATTGACTTGATTTTATGACTCATTCTTATGTTGACTATTGTCAACTGTTTCGGTAGTAAGTCATGCAATCGTTTAAAAATAATCTCAGTAAATATTTCCTTTTTTTATTCCTCTTCTCTTCTTTTAACTATCTCCCCCGCAAAAAAATAGTTTTCATCGGCATATGCTTATGCAACTGGTGATCCGTTACAACCAGGCAGACGTTATCGTTTTCGTGTCATCGCTTTGGATCCATCTACTGGACTACATTTAGTCCCACCATCCGGTTGGTCAAATATAGTTAGTATGGAGCATATTAGTCAAGTGGAACCACCACAAATCAAAGTGGTTCGACCTATGGTAAGTGTGATTGATTTTATTTTATTTTACTTCCTTTTCCTATCTCGATCATCAACATTAATTTAATGGTCATAGCAATTGTGTGCTGACTTTGTGGTTAATTTCAAGAGGTAATTTTACGGAGTTCTAATGAGAAACTATGTGACCAGTGGAGGAGTTCCGCCCTGTTGGGAGTGAGGCAATTACTCACTATAGGTATTGGATGGCGTTTGCTTAATATTACGAATCTCTTGGAAACTTGTCAGATGCTGAGTTTGACCACTGATGGAATCATAAATGAAAACTATCTATAAATCCCATACTAAGATGAAACAGCTAATCAGTACTTCCTATTTTTTTTTTTTTGAATGGTTGCTTACCTTAAATCAATCTATTATCAAAGCTTAGAAATAAACTTATTATAAGGAATATTACTACTAATCAACTATTTCGATCATTTTGATATTCACTTGGTTTGGAATTAATGTTGATACAGAGTTGTTTGCTTAACGAATAACACAACCTTACCAAAGTTATGGTATGCTTCGACATGGTTTATGGTAATTCCATATGGTGATTAATTGTGATATTGTTTTGTTTTTAACTTAAATGGAATGTACACGAACTAGATAGACTGGAAGATGAATACGTAACACATTATGGAACGAAGAGGAATTGAAAACTCAGGAAAAAGCATGATATCAGAAGTCAAAATTGCAATTCTGTTTGTATAGGCAGTAACTATGACCTTCAGGCACAACAAAGAACGAGAGCTGCTAATCAGTTAACAGTAAAGGTCAGTAAGTAAAGATGAATTAGGAGAATTCTTATTAAGGTCTTCACCTCAGAATTATCATTTGTTAAATGATTTAATAGTACGAGGTGATTTGAGGTCTTCCTAGTTAGTCGCAAGGTGTAAGTCATTGATTCACAACCCTCAACGACCTAGATATATCCCACACGCTATAGTGAAAATCTGAATCTCCTATATTTTATTTCGTTTAGAGTCTTAAAATGCACATTAGCAATATATTTTAAATTAGGACACGAAATCTTTTTGTCTCTATCAAACACATTAGTTTTCAAGAAGAATTCTCCACCTGTAATATCAGTTCATGACTGTTTCTTTTCCCTGTGAAATACTTTCAATTTTAAAAAATCTTGATGAACCGTAGACAGTGAGATTTAACCATTTCAGGTGTGAAATATTTATCCACTGCAGGCAGTGAAAAATGATCTCAGTGGTCTAGAAGTTAAGGGTTCTCGCGTGAGATTGATACTCTTGGATTCGATTCCCTGTAATGGGGTCGTGAATCTACATAACCATTGAGGAATCTTATAATAGGACGAAACTACCATTCAATTTTCCTTTGCTGTACTAACTGAAATCATTTCATTAATTAGAAAAACTGTGAAAATTCTACAATCTCCATATATTCCCCCATACTTAATCTTTGATAAATTAATCACTGTCTTTTTATACCAAACTGAGTGCACTTGCGTTTACTTAAAAGTTTGAAATGATAAAACTGCACAATTTCTCTACCCCTATTTTTTTTACACAAATAACGTACACATTAGGTAATTTTATTAAATTCATAACTCCGATATACAAATTTGTTTGAAAGCGTAATTAAGTACTTCATCTAGTGTATGTGTGTGTTCTGTTTTATGGTTGTTTCCTTTATTATTGCTGTGTCCTGCTGGTATTGACCTACTTTTTCTTAAAATAAGTGGGTAAGGGGGGGCTTTTAAAAGAGAATAGATAGTGACTTCCGATTATGGTAGCAACGACCAGATTAAATGTGTTGTTTGCTTACTCTACCCTCACCCCTTATTATTATGTCCTTTTTTTTACTTATCTGATTAAATTATTTTCTTGTTGCTGTGTTGTTGTAAGCACTTTGAATAAAATAATAATAAACTTGTCTGAAATCAGTTCAGAACTGAATTCTTTTTGTCCTACTCCTCCTCATCATCTCCACCACCCTTTGTTAAAAAGCAATACACTGTTGAACTGCTACTTCATGCACTCGTTGGTCACTTAGTGTATTCATTGAAACCGAACAAGGACAATTAATTTTTTTTCAAGAATATAATGAATTTGTTTTTAGTTTAAATGTATTCATGAAAGGAAAACCGTTATCAATTATTAGAATGGACAATTTCGCGGTTAGTGTTCCGTTTGAAATAGTACTAGTCAACGTGACATCACGGATAGGTTTTAGCTAGAGAGCTAGTCTGGAGATTTGTGAAAGTAGAAAGTAGTATGGAACTTCATGAGAGTGTATACCTGCAGATTCATCTAAATTTATTTAAGCACATCGTATTGAGCTTCTTACTTTTATAATACTGAAATTATAACAAATAATTGAGAATTATAACGTCAGGTCTCTAACTATTATCCACTAGTGATATTTGCCATGTATATGCGTTAGTTGAACTCCACTGGTCGTGGTTTCTCAATAGAACTCTTCCAGATGAAAATAATCACGAGTTGTATTTCATTGAAATTTATTTTCAAACAAAGATGTATTGTTGCTGATAGAAACATTACGAACCTGAAACCATTGGACGGCTATTTCGTCCTAATATGGGACTCCTCAGCAGTGCGCATCCACAATCCAGCAGGCCGGAATCGAACGAGGACCTTAGTCTACTCATACGAACTCTGGCATCTAATTTCTTTAACATAAATAAATCATGTGACATTTTTCAACTGCATTTTGGACCTATAGTTCACTTAATGTTACTCTCAACTACTATCTCATATTTATCGTGTCATTGATTAGCCGGAACTGATTGGTACTGGGTAGACAGTTTAAACGAGCTGATCGATACTCTGACTAGATCAATACAACAGCTCTTTCCTGTCTTACAGTTCAATCTCACGGACCCCAATAAGCTCAACAAGAAAATCTATACCAACAAATTGCATTATCTATTGTTTGCAAATGACTATTTAGTAAATATAATTAGTGTTAAATAATTCTCACGCAATTAATTACTATTATTATTACTTGTTATTGAAGTGTGCTAAATATTAGATGAATGATTATCCATTTTCTTGTTCAATATATTTATAATTCAAATGACAATGAACACACTGGTTGTGATTTTTCATCATCCTTTCAACTGGTTATTGTAATTACCAAAGTTCATATTATTTTTGTTCTTCTGAACTATTTGAAGTAGATCATTTTAAAAGATTCATTCCGTAATTAAGTTATACTAGTCAGTGCACTCAACGTCATCAGTGAAATATTCAGTCAAACCATATGTAGGACCTGTCACATTATGTATTTATTTATTTTAACACATAGATATTGGTAAAAGGAGGCATCAAATACATATGCGCCACACAAATCTCATTCGATATGTGTGAGGGCTGTGACACTGCCCGGGTACCCAAACCGAAGGTGGTTTTCTTAGAGGGCCACACCCGGAGCCTTCGACTTGAAGGTCTGATCCACAAGGCAGTGGAGCATCGTAAGGAGATGCGGTCCCATGGAAGCCGGTGACCAGCAATTGGTTCATATGCCATTTGTTCCCTCAGGATACTGGAGCCCATGTGCACCATTGGTTTGGGGTCCGGTTAAAGCGCCGGATATTCGCTTTTCGTCCTCTCATTTCCGTAAAAAACACTCGTGGTGCGAGAAGGCAGTGGCGGGGGATCAGTTCTGGTTGCTACAGACAACAAAAGCAAAAAGAGATGAGATTGTCAATGCCAATTCCAGAATATAATATATTGAGGGATAGAGAATATGATTCGAGAAGGGAAGAATTTGTGTAATAAATAGTGAATACATCTACTTCATTGTGATCAATTTTTGAGCCTTGTCATCCCAGATCTCCAACTATTAGTCACGATAATTGCGCGGACTTCACATAGTCTGCACCAACCTTCACACTTTGATTCAACAGTCTGTGATTTTGTGTGTTTTTGGGATGTTTTCGTTTGATTCCGTCGTTCTGTACTCTTACACTAGTCAACATTGTTGATGCATACGGTGGTTGGACATACTTAATTAAAGAGTACAGGATAGCAATGAAGAATGAATTCAATTATATCGTTACTGAGATCGACTCTAAGTAATACCCTAACAATAAACCTCAACTACTCATAAAAATAGTTAATATTTTTGATCTAACCACCGACCACAAATATAGTACACCGTAACTCTAGAACAGCATCATTAATATTAATTTTTCATATCTTTTTTTTTAAAAAAAGAAAACTTTCCTTACGAGTTATTTTTCTTTTTCGTTTCCCTCCTTTCCTGCCCCACAAACACACACTACATGAATCTCAGTCGGAAGGTCGAGTTCATGTAGTATGGATGTTCAATGGTGTTGGTGATGTTCCTTCAAATCCTAATGATTTAGGTATATTATCCAAATCATCAAGCCCTTCAACTCAAAATAATAATAATAATGGTTTATCACAAAAAGATAAATCATCAGAAATTACTTCTAATTCACTAACTACTTTCGGTGATACAACGCCATTATTTCTTAAAGATTCAAATAATTTACAATTTATCGCTGATCATTTTCTTATACTTGCACGACCTGTAATTAAACCAAAACGTGGTTCCGGTGGTACTATTGAATATGGTGCTTATTGGGCTACACAAGTAAATGGTTCTAATGCTAGAGTAAGTGTAATAGTTTCTTTTTTCTTTTGGGCAAAAATCAATATTACATATTATGTAATACTTCTAGTCTCTATTTTTCATGGTTTTATATTTATTTACTTATTCCTTTATGGAAAATTATGTCCAAATATTCAATTCTAAGTCATGGTTTTTAAAAATTCTATCCTTTTTTAAAATACTTGATTCGATATTCTGTCCATAGAATATCGTAGATTTCAGTCAGTCAGCTACAACGTAGGACCAGGCACATATATGCATCGGTCCAGGTTGCCATACCTCATTAGCACAGCAAGATGAACACCGGATTCATAGCAGTGGTTAGTTCGTAGATTCCTGACCGTAGCTGTTAAATTAACATGATCACTGTGTTACATATCATGAAATCAAAAGTTGCAAGTCTAAGACCTAATGGTGAAGTTATACTGTTAGTCGTTTTTGGGTTTTATTGCTGTAGGATATTTCTTTATGGATAGTCAACATTGTCAACTGTACTTTTTTTCTCACAGCTCAAAGAAGAATTGTGAAAGGTTGATTCTAAAAAATAACATACCTCACTTTGTTTCATATATTTACAGTGTAGATAATAACGCATAAATAGTACAAGGTATGGGTACGTGAAAAGCTACTCACGAAATGATCGTATATACACTAGGTTTTGAAACTATTGTCTTTTGAAGTTTGCATTCATGCTTCTAAATCTCAAAATTGATACTAATACAGTTTTGTTCTCGGGTACCTCAAGAAGAAATATCTTTCCACAGTGTGTACAACTGTAAAGTGACAACTCTCTACACATACCTCTAACAGGAGCTAAGCTTATCTTGTTTTTGTGATGTCACTTCAAATATTTTATTTGTAGTTCCTATGTTTGAGCACGTAAATCTACGATTACATCAGTGGGCTTGTGATATCTACATGAACTGAATTATGTTACTTTAGATTTGATTTGATTTAATCCATTCACAATTAAAACATCCAGTCAGTAAACAAACACAACCCTCTATTCTCAAAGATCCTAATACTGCTAACTTGTTAGTGCTACTCAGGTGCATGCTGATAATCTTCCATTTATTCCATCCTTGATACCATACACATGATTATATAATTGTACTACCACTTCATACCTCTCTTACTTACTGTTTATATTTTTATTTAAACACATAAACATTGATACAAGGAGTTATCACATATATATATGCATGCCACACTTTGTTATTCGATTTGTGTGAAGACTGGAATACTGCCCGAGCGCTTAAACTCAAGCAATTCTGTCACTTACGATATGAATCATTGTGTCAAATGTGTACTGTAGGACTCCTCATTAGTGTGCAGGATGAAACAACCGTCTAGTGCTTCCAGGTTTAGCTTCAATTGACTCATGATTTCAACTATTAAACATTATTATAATATCCACAAAACCCCTTCTGATATTAATTCTATATTTGTTTTTTTTCTTATACAGGATGGTTTATTGACAGGTTTGAATAATACTGCAAATTATCAAATTATAGTTTATGGAGTTAAAGGAACTGGTGACAACCGACAGATTACACGTTTCTCTAAAGCAGTCTATGTAAATATGGCTGTAAGTTTTATATTAACCAGTGTACAAACATCATCCATGTGTGTGTGTAAATGATCCAATTATCGTTATTATAGTAAACGATACTAACAAAAAATGACTTAATCGCAGTTGACGAATATCGTTAAATAGATTAATCTTTCCATAGATTGTATGCTTAGACTAATGATCACCTTGTGTAACTTGACCGATGGAATTTGATTGGCAACACTTAGGAGACTATTAGTTATCGACAAAAACATCGCTTTTTAATCCTGAGTAGTGTATTATTATTCAGTCTAAATATTTCAATTCTACATAAACTTCTATCGCCTCTGGAACAACATTTCTGACTGTCAATACTGGCTGATGCGAGATTTTAAATGTCCATGAGGATGGGAAGAAAGAGAGGAACATCGGTTCTTATAAATTAACAGAATGATCTTTTAAGAGAGTACCAACTAACGTGAAAATTTGTTTGACTATAGTATCCTCTCAATTGCGTTCAATTATCAATATTTTTTACTTAAAAGAAAAACATACTTTATATATATATATATAGTTAGCTATTGTCCCACCTTTAACTGACTTTCTGTAGTACGGAAATATTCACAATTAATTAATCACTGTGTTGAATTCGATCAGCACTAAAGTAGGACTTGACACACATGACAGTGATCACTGACCAGTGATCAGACAGGTCAGTCGCAGCCCGGATAGCTCAATGGTAATATATCCTACTATGAAGATGGGTGGTACGAAATCGAATCTGCCAGGGAGTATTAGTTTTCACAACTTTACAAGTGCACCCTGCTGACGAGTACCGGATAGCACGAAATCTAGGTCTAGAGTCGCTTGTCGACTACCTCTAACCACCACCTTAATCTCAGCATTGTACACGTGTTATCGAGTTGCTGAAACTAGTGGCCCCATTGCAGCTAATTCTAGAGAATTCACACAACACTAAGAAGGACTGAAGAAATGTGACAGTGGTCTTTACTCAGTTATCAACCAATTTTAAACATTAATGTCGTATTTGTTTATTCCTTTTCATATGGTACTAAACTATTGGAAATGATTATTTTTGTAATGAGTTTTGTTTCCATCGTTCTATTTCTTATTGTTTTTTTAACCATACTTCATTCGGAAACAGTCGACTGACTACACTGGTCGTTACAGTTTACTGGATACTTTAAATAATAATCGTTTATTATACATAATCTTGGGTGGTATAGCCGGTGTAATGTTTCTAGTCATGTTCATACTGATCCTGTTGTGTTTATGTCGTCAACATCAAGATCGTCGTACACATAGTCAACGTAAAAAACAAAGTAAGCGCGTAAATAAATATCTTGTTAAATTATGTTGAATTGATTAGTTATGTTGATTTACTGATTTACCGTCATCGCTGATGGCATTTTACTTTAATGTCTTCATCAATAGCGATTAACTAAACTCCACCAGGTTACAAATGGTTTAAGCTTTAGTAAGATTCACTAAATTCCTAACTGTGCGCTGATCTGTGCAGACCCTTCATTATTTATCATAACTTCCAGGACTCCCAGTTCAAGATCATGTATGTTATGTAAAACATTTTGTCCATCTTGAACTCAAAGTTAGTCGGTGAGTTGCGTGACCGTTTTGTTTTCTGAGCTCAAAGCTGGTTTGATTCCAATGTAAATGTTCTCATTGGGAAGTATGTGCCATCGTCGTTTCTAACCTGATCCTCCATTCTATATGGTTTAGAAGTTCATGACTTGTCTCAAACATAACTAATCGATAGTATGCACCAGACAATGCAGAGCAGATCACATGCTGTTCCAAGCACCCATGGTAATTGAGAAGTACAAGTGTCGACTGAGGCACAATTGATTATTCGCTAACTCAAGGTGACGACCCACATTTATTTGAATCAGTTCTATATATATATATATATATATATATATATATATATATATATATATATATATATATATATATATATATATATATATATATATATATACAATATATTCAGTCTTTGGTAAAATTGAATTGTGTCTAACAGTGAAATCTAGGAAAAGTAGGTACATTCACTTGATCAGTCCGAATAGGACGAAACTCTCACATCTTTAATACAGTTCAAAAAAAGAGTTTATTATGGAAGTATTAAGAAATTCGTGAAGGATAATTTAATTAAAATTTCCAGAAAAATGTAAATGCAACAACTGCAATCACTTCAGCTTCATGAGTTGTTACTCAATATTTTCAATCACTGATTACGATCATTCTCTAAATAAAGTGCTTTGCATATACATCAACGTGACTTGTTTGTAAATAATAGGGTGGTAGAGATTGTGGAGTTTCATTTAAATCATTAGCTAATCAGTGTTAGACCAACACCCGTTTTATCCTAATGTGTGACTCTTTAGTAGCTATGTTATCTACGGCTCTGCAACTGGGACTCGAACCATTACCTTTGGTCTCATGCACGAACACTTCACCTCTAGACCACTGAACCGGCATTCAACGGTGCTAGTGTCTAACTCCAATCAATCAGATATGAACACTTTTGAATACCAACTCAGTGGTCTAGAAGTTCAATGTTCTCGCAAAGGACTGAAGTTCCAAAGTTCAATTCTCGTGTGCGAAGTCATGAATGCGCACTGTTCACTGACGAATCTGATGCTAGAACGAAACGGCTGTCCACTGATTTTTAGATTCTCAATGATGGTCTAACATTGATCGACTAGTAATCTCAATGACTAAGTAATAATAATAACAATTATTTATTATTATTATTATTATTATTATTATTATTATTATTATTATTATTATTATTATTATTATTATTAATCAGATGTTACTGATCATTCTTGCAATTTTTTATTCTTTAAAGATGGTTATGTACACGGGTATAAAGATTCACCGGATTTTCATCATACTATTGATGGAACAACTAGTGGAATAAATAATCCCCAATTATCGCATGGTAATATGATATCGACTAATCAAAGTAATAATAATAATATTAATAATAATAATATGAACACAAATAATAATCCTTCCGGTGCTCTCACTATAACTCATACTACTAACAATAATACTGCTCTTCCTCATAGTAGTAGTACACATGATCATCAAATTATGCCATCGGGAACAATGATGATGATGATGGGCAATTTACAATGTAGTGGTCTATCGGAACATTCAACATCAAATAATCCTGTACAAAATGAATTACAGCATCAAATGTACATACAGCAACAACAACAACACCAATCTGATCAATATAATTCCACTTTGGGCATATCTAAAGAGGCAGCGTATCAACAACGTCAAGCTATGCTAGGATCACAATTACAATTACAACAACAACCATCATCATATATGACAAATCAACCATCGTTATCGCATCATCAATCACATCATTCTCTATTACTTCCGTCTGCTGGTGGTGGTACCGGTAATTCGAATTATCATATACTTTCTGGACAAAATAATAATACTAATAATAGTAATGTACTTTCACCAACAATGTTTCATAGTGGTACTTTACCAGGTGGTGGACCACGTTATTTACGACAACAATCATGTAATTCACATTATTTCGGTAGTCAACAACCATTAGATAGAAATATGGTTAGTCCAAATGCAATGGAAATGACTGAACTATATCATCAACAATATCAGAATGGTTACGCTTATCAACAACCACAATTACCGCCGATTCCAGTGAGTGTTTTTTTATTCTTATGTCATTCGTGCGAAAAAGCAGAGTTTTATGACCGCTTTCAGTAACAATTCAAGGATGTTTGTGATATGATTCTCTACCTCGAAGTACAAAATATCACTTCAGAATTGGCCTGCATCAGCACCTGAGTTAATGATAGGAAGTGAAGTAGTCGAGTCTATCGGCCACTTCATTCATCTGTAATGTTTCACCGGCTCTAATGATTTGGTGTCTGACGAAATGTTGACCCATGGATTGAGAAAACTGATTTATCATTTGTCTAGTTGAATCATTTGTGACATAGACGACGATATATCCGTCTAGTAGTGAGAAGACGAGTTTACTGGACATCAGTTCATCCCGTTCTACTCTGTTCATGTGAAAGATGACAATGAAAAACAGAGGGTATTTTTAAGCCATACTAGTATTCGATGATGGATGTGTTGGAAATCTCGTTGATGTATATACATTTGTGTGTGTGTTCGTTGGTATGATGGAGTGAGTAATGAGGAGGTTAGACAAAGAGTATTAGACAAATGTGACGAATCGATGGATGATGTGTTGAATGTTGATCAAGTGAGATTGCTGGAACATGTGTTAGGTTATGTATGCCAATCGAGTGACAGTCTCGATTGACGATGTTGTCTAATGTAGACGTTGGTTGTAATAAAGTTGAGTAGAGTGAAAATAATACATGACGTGTCAATGTTTGAAGTTGATGTGTATCGAACTAATGGATGTGATTAGTTGTAGATGTATGTGTAGGTGTGGGTGTAGACTATGTGTTTGCATGTGTTTTTGTGTTGGTCGTTGTGATAACCATCGGTATGAATGATCATATATTTTGTGTGACATGTCTGAGAATCGTTTAGTACTGGTGGAGTTGTATTCATTCTTTGTGTTCCTCTATAATCTGTGTTTGAAAATCTCCCTATATCGGCTTATTTCTTGTTTCTTTACCTAAAATTTTGCTGCTACTACTACTTCTACTACTACTTTTACTTCTGATTGTGCTACTAACACTGGTACCACTCCTTCAGCTCTGAATATTTTATCGAAATTATTCTACCTTACAGTGCTAATATGATTTGGCAAGTTGAGTTGGCGCATATATATGTGTATCAGATTCTACGTTGCATATGACTGACTGACTGACCAAGTGTCTATGGAGATTGTTGAGTTTTTAAAGTTGTTTAGATCACAAACTGACAACCATTGAAAACTAAGAACCAGCAGACGGATACTTCATTCTAACACGTTACTCCTCAACAGTTCACATCCACGATGTGTCGAATCTGGGAAAGATCTTGCGGCGATCACTTAACCATTAGATCATTGGGCTGGTATCCATTTGTTTACATTTTTAGCATCATTCAACTCGCAGTATTTTGCAACCTTTTTTAACGCGACTGATGGAATACTGCCTCAAACTCAACATGCCCAAATGGAAAGCCATAAACAGTGTGGTTCAACCATGTCGTGTCGGAGTCATTTACCAATCATTCATATTGGAGATAGTTGTACAATACCGCGAGTTGACTGGAGACAGAAACGGCAATTATTGGACATTGTCTAATTAGTCTTAAGGTTTAGCGCTAGCTGTAAGTCCTACTGATTGTCAGTTTTACGCTTGATAGAATCGCGGAGTGCTACACTAGAACGCGGAACACTTGTCCAACGTTTCCTGATATCCAATAGTTGATTTACTAAAATAAGCTTATAATGTAAAACTGTAATATTTTATTTTTATTCTGAAACAATTTAAGAAGTTCGTTTCATCACACGCAGCACAATATAAGATATACAATTAAATCTACGAATTTCACAGAAAACCCAATACTGTCAAACTATTGACTATAATTCTAATCATCTTCTTGTTCAATGTATGTGTTATGTATCCCAAACACTGTATGTATGTGTTTATGTATGCATACTTTACCGTGATAGATATTTTGATTACAGTCTAAGAAATGTGCAATTAAATAGCCTTAACTACTATTGATCATGGTGAAACAAGAAATTTGTCTATAGAATCTACAACAGTGGTTATCGAATTTATTTGTATATAAAAGAAATGTTTACTTTTTAAAAAAATGCAATTTATACTTACATAAACTACTTTCTTAGTTATATAATCATTCCGTCAATTATTAATCAATCCCACCACCACACAATGTTTATAGGCCTGATCTCACCCCCTTCAAGCCCGTTTTTTTAAATAAGCACATGGAGTCGAAAGTGTATGTTTATGTGTTTGTCTGTAGAAGATGATGAAATCAATAGGAGTGAGGTGACGGGAGGGGGACACATTGAATTCTATGATTTCTACGTAGAAATTGTTTATATACAACTCACTGATCGTTTTTTTTGCTCTGGGGCTGTATATATGGATCTGTACATCTATATGTGTATTTGTTAGTTTATGTTCTCATTCAAAAGAGTGTATGTATCTACAAACACTGACGCCAAATCTGTATATCTTTACGTTATTTTATAATACCTATAGAGTTTGTTTATGTAATAATGCATTTGATAACAAACTACCGTTTCTTCTAATTGCTGTCCTGAATTGGATATCTTATTATTGGGTTTTTTTTTACGTCTCGTACCGTTGTATGAACATATATCAATGGGACTGTTTTTTTCATTGCGCTCTCATTTCTTTCTATATAAACAACGAATATCTGTAATATTTAGATAATTGTAATAAATAAATGTATGTATGTATTTTCCTAAATTTCAATAATTTATATTTTCTCGAATTGTATCATGGATACCTAATCTTTTTTTATTGCATTGAAAACATGAACCGACCAATGGTAAACCTGGAAGCATTGGACTACCGTTTCGTCCTGTTATATGGCTATTTAACAGTGCGCATTTACAACCCCACACACGGGAATCGAACCCGCAAATGCTTCACCTCTAGACCACTGAGCTCTCATCCAACAGTGTTAATGTCTAACTTCAATCAATCCACTATATTGCTCGACCATGTTCCATTGTTTTCGGCGAGTAACTGCTTCAGACCCGACACGGTTGGATTTCATTATTGACGGTTTCCCGCTTTCGGTGACATGGATATTCACTGCTGAAGAGTTTTATACCAAAATGAAACTGCCGTTCAATGCTTTCCGGTTTTCAATGGTGGTCTACCATCAATCAGTTCATGATTTAAATGATATTTAATTTTCTATTACCTCTTCTACTGTGAGATTCGGCCTAACAATTTCATCACGCTGTGTTAATGGAGTACGACAACTTGAACCTATATACATATGTACCAGACTCTACTTTTGGAATAACTAACTGACTAACGTAATCATTCATGTTCCGCTGTTTCTGATAGAGACATTTTTGTTATCAAATAATAATAATTCTGAACATATGTGGAGAAGCATACAAATTGTGCCAAACATCACAGTCATTACTTATTTCAAATTAAGGTTTTTACATTTTGTTGGAATAATTAAGCGGTGGATGTATATAATGTATATACCTTTGTTTTCTTTTTCATCAACTATCCACATGAATAAAAGCTGTTCCCTGACTGGTTGGAAATGCATTGTGATTGTTTTATACTCGTCCCTGTACTATACTTTTGTCTAAATTGAACTACAACGTACGACAATTAAGAAAATGCAGTATGTACCACAATAGCCCATTTAGAGTATTAAATTATGATACCAAGAACATGATTAAGTTATAGTAATTTAAGAACAGTACAAGATATGGTGACAGTTTATAGACCAGACGAAAGCTCAAGATTTGGAGAATAAAGAAGTTGCATAGCCGCTCTTAATTGGACTCACCATTTGAAACTTGAAAGTACTAGATCACCATTTTGTCCTAGTATGAGACTCTTCAGTGTCAGTAAACACCCACAACCATGCACACGGGAGTCGAACCAAGAATCTTCGGTTTCACGTTCGAAAGCTTACTCCCTAGTCTATTAAGCTAGCATCCGACGGTGTTATTGTCAAAATTCAATCAGCTTTTGGAGAGATTAGTACGCTAAATATTTTGTCTATCATTATATATACAATTTTAATGTCCTATTGTGATTATTTTGCTTGTATCTAGCATCCACAATCATCATCAGGTCTACCACCCCGTATCCAACACCATTGAGTAACAATGGGACCATAAATCGTCAAATGGTGTTAAATCAACAACAAAATTTTATCCTGCTTCCATGACACCTAGCGGTGGGGCTTCGTTAAAACGTGAACCTCCAACTGGCAGCGGTGGGGTCAATGCTGGTGCACCACAGGATGGATCGGGCTATGGTATGTTTTCTTCTTCAGTGAATTAATGAATAATTTTGTAGAGGGTTTTTAAAAACCTCTTTGTTTTGCGCACCACTGTCACGTCAGTTAGTCGTAGTCAACGTTAAAGGCTGACAGCAATCTGCGTTGATCCAACATATAGCAAAGATATGATATATTTTTACTGTTACGCCTAGCTTTATTTGTGAAGCTCGTTTTGTCTTTCTACTTACTTTACTCTCCTTTTATCAATCATAATGATTATCGAAGATATGATGACAAAGAACCTGGAAAAAATGAAGGCTTTTAAGTGTCTAAGCTTTTTATTAATTCAATATGACTGTGTTCAGTATTGTCAGCTGATCTCAGTTTTACAACACGTCCAATCAATACGTGCCACTATTTGATGGCGATGTGATGATATCGTTACTGGGACTTCTTATGTTTGTACTTAATGTCATGACTTCAGTATCGCTGATAGATTACATATGAAATATTATTGCCCAATCAGGACTCCGATCGTCAATTAGTTCATCTATGTGACCAACAGGACCAGTAAACTTCAAACTCACGAATCGACATACCGATTAATGAACAACATTCAAGACCTCAACACTTATTGATCCTCGAGCTCCTCCCAACCCAGTAATAGCCAATCAACAGACACGGATAGGAAGCAGATCAGTTTTCTATCATAATCAGCTCAGTTATTACTCAAAACCCATACAATGGCATACTTTATATACCTGACCCCGCAGCACATCAAACAAGAAATCATACTTTAGACATAATCATGCCAGCGAGCGAAGCAAACAGTACATAATGAATTAGCAATAACTATGTATTATTATTATTTATTTGAACAGATAAATGCCGGTACAAGGGGGCACCCGACACATATGCGTCACACAAATCTCATTTGATTTGTGTGAGGACTGTGGTACTGACTGGGTTTCCAAACCGAAGCAGGTGGTTTTCTTGGGGGGGGGCACACACGGAGCCTTCTACCTAAAGGTCTGATCTACAGGGCATTGGGGCATCGTAAGGAGATGTAGTCCCATGGTAGCTGGTGACGCCGTTTGCTCCTTCAGGGTACCGGAGCCCTTGTGTACCATTGGTTTGGAATCAGGGTTTTCCAACTCCCCTAAGCAGACTCTTCGTGTCCACCAACCCGGTTAAAGCGCCGGACATTCGCTTTTCGTCCTCTCAATTTCATAAACAACACCCGTGGTGTGAGAAGGCAGTGAGTAGGACTTCCATGGCAAAGTCTATATACACATGGACATGTGAGAATATTTCGAGAGGGAGAGTGAACTGTCCCCACTCTTGGCCGTACCAGGGCATTTAGGGGCTATAATCAAATGTAGCATAATTGTTGATAGGTCCACTGGAATCTTTCAATAGGGGAATATACGAAACTCAGTTAAAGTGTTTATGTTATTGTTAATTATCAGCTAGTTAAGTATGTATTTGTATAATAATCATAATAATAATTACTTTTAAATTGTGAAAATATCACTCTTTTTAGATGGTATCTAACTTTCCTTTGTCTAAAAAGATTTTTTTGTTACTATTGATCATGGTAACATCTTCACTTTCTTCTTGTCTATTTATATAAACACACATAACATTTTTAAAATGGAAACACACACCTATCTGAAAAGATTCAAATCATCTATGAATGAATGTATATATTTCTGTTCGGATATTGTAATAATACACTATGAACAGTAGAGCTTATTGTTTAGATAGTTTAAAATATCATTTAGATCATCTAAGATTGATGATCGATTCATTGGTTGGTTGATTTATTATTATTTTTTTCTTCTGTTTTGTAAATGTTATTACATAATTTGTCATTTTAATGTTTGTGTTAATTTATATCTTTCTTTTCTATCAACTATTTGTATTGGATTTGTTTGTTCAAATGGGTGTGAAACTGGTTAGGGTGTATTTTTCACAAACTAATCTCAGTTGAGGTTGTTCTCTAGTTTTAATGATACCCCAACTATGATCTGTATGTGACAAATACAACGTAAAAATTAAATAAATCTGAATAAAAGAAACCTTTAAATAGACTAGTGAATACCTTTATGGTGTTCGTGAAATTTTAATGAGTAGTAGTAGTCTTGGGTGTTAGAGCTCAGACGTATTCGCACTGAGACAGTTGTCATCACATTGAATAAAGTATGGTCGATAGCATTCGATCTACAATAAGAAGGACTTGACACTATGACAATGATCACCACCCAGTGATTAATCAATTGTGATTACATCTCAGTCGTACAGGAGGTCGGTCGCGGCCCGGACACCCCTGTGGTAACGTCTCGGATTGTGAAGCTGGGTGACACGGGATCGAATGTGTCAGGGAGCATCAATTCCCTCAAGATTACAGGTACACCTTGCTGACGAGTGCCAATTAACACGAAACCCGGGTCCAGGGTCTCCTGTTGAATACCTCCAACCACCACCTAAAGTATGAATTTTACCATTGGATCTGTTGACTCAGTGGTTATATAATGGTTAGAGGGTTCTTCATGAGACCTGAAGACCCTACTTTAGAAATTTACGAGGTGACGTGAGTGTAGGCATTGTGTTGATTAGGAGTCTCATTCTAGAAGAAATAACCGTCTGTTCAGTTCACTTATATTGGTTGTCCAAACCTTCCCATTGTTGTTTTGGTCTGAAATTGATCTATCTATTTGGTATATGTGCGTCTTGTAATGATTGCCTCGATAATGTCATTAAGTCACATAAATAAGCAGAGATGGATTACGGCTAGTAGTGGGATCTGTGACGCTCATTTCGTCTTATTTGAGACTTGTCAGATGTATTTGTCTGCATCCAGGATTTTATATTCACTCCGGTTAACCCAATGGCATTTGAAGCGAATGGTCCTGGTTTCGAGTCCCGGGTTGGACATCAACTTTGGGATGCAGGTACATCCAGCTGACGATTTTCGATTAAGAAGAATTGCGCGTCCCGAATCCCACTATCCATCTCTCTGTATAACTGTCTATTCACTTTGTTTTTTTCCATTCATATATGTTTATTTCCTGCGTAAATAATCACCTTTACAATTTATAATAAATTATAGGGACATTAGTCCAACGTGGTGGAGGTCCATTAACTGCTTCCATGATGACTGATCCATCAATTGGTAGCGGTATTAATGGTGTACCAATGAATGCTGTTTATTATCGTGGCAGTCAGCAGGCATTACATATGTACCCTAATGGAATGAGTACTCCTCAATCTCAACAACAACATCATCAAGGTGGCGGTGGTGTATATCAATCAAATCAACAACAGGCATTTTTTATGCAACAACAAATGCAACATGCTCAAATGTATCCAGGTTATTTTAGTCCACAGCCTCAGTCACATTTCGATTCTATGGGACATGTGTAAGTTGTATCCACTGTCGTTGTTATCGTTGTCGTTATCGTCAGTTTCATCTCACCATTCAAACTTGGATTGATGAGTAAATAAATAAATACAAACGATGATTTTCTCTTATCAGGCGATTCACTTGGACTTTTGAGTATGTAGGGTGATATAGTTCTGTGCTTGGTGTAGATAGATGTCGACAAAATCTTGTGACCGCCTATGCAACAATTCAAGGATGTTTGTGATATGATTCTCTATCTCGAAGTACAAAATATCACTTCAGAATTGGCCTGCATCAGCACCTGAGTTAATGATAGGAAGTGAAGTAGTCGAGTCTATCGGCCACTTCATTCATCTGTAATGTTTCACCGGCTCTAATGATTTGGTGTCTGACGAAATGTTGACCCATGGATTGAGAAAACTGATTTATCATTTGTCTAGTTGAATCATTTGTGACATAGACGACGATATATCCGTCTAGTAGTGAGAAGACGAGTTTACTGGACATCAGTTCATCCCGTTCTACTCTGTTCATGTGAAAGATGACAATGAAAAACAGAGGGTATTTTTAAGCCATACTAGTATTCGATGATGGATGTGTTGGAAATCTCGTTGATGTATATACATTTGTGTGTGTGTTCGTTGGTATGATGGAGTGAGTAATGAGGAGGTTAGACAAAGAGTATTAGACAAATGTGACGAATCGATGGATGATGTGTTGAATGTTGATCAAGTGAGATTGCTGGAACATGTGTTAGGTTATGTATGCCAATCGAGTGACAGTCTCGATTGACGATGTTGTCTAATGTAGACGTTGGTTGTAATAAAGTTGAGTAGAGTGAAAATAATACATGACGTGTCAATGTTTGAAGTTGATGTGTATCGAACTAATGGATGTGATTAGTTGTAGATGTATGTGTAGGTGTGGGTGTAGACTATGTGTTTGCATGTGTTTTTGTGTTGGTCGTTGTGATAACCATCGGTATGAATGATCATATATTTTGTGTGACATGTCTGAGAAGCGTTTTGTACTAGTTGAGTTGTGTTCACTCTCTGTGTTCCTGTGTTTGAAAATCTCCCTATATCCGCTTTCTTCTTTTTCCTTTACCTAGTAATTTCTACTATTACCACCCATATTACTCTGAGATTCACAAACAAATTATACGATTTTTGTCTGTGCTTTATCATCTAGTCAATATGATTACTTTTCTCTGTTTTTCTTACTTTTATTTAGGCATCATAATTTCAATCATACTGACGGCGAATCGGTCTATTCATACTTTAGCCAACAAGATATGAATCAACCTGGTCCACACCAACATTTAAATCCATTGCCCGAAGAAAATCAAGTGGGTTTGTTTAGTGATTATTGTTCATTAGATTTTTTCAGTATAATTTCTCTGAATTTCAATCTTGTGGATTTTAATGTGTCTATGCTTATAGGTGTTGTAGTTATTCTCACTACATTATAATGCTTTATTATGAATCTGCATTGTATACCTGACTGACAATAACTGTAAATAAATCGGTATTATGGATATTCTTCCGTTTCCATGGAAGGACAACACTGTAAGACCTAGGAAACACCTGCTACTCGAAGATGATAGATGACAACTTATTACTACGCGGTGGCACGTAACACGAAATCCCTAGTGTATCAGAATTTCCTCCTGATCACCCACCATCAACCACACAACTTGATTTACTCATTCCTTCTGTGTCCTATTTAAACTAATCTAATTATTTTTCCTTTTCTAAAAATAAGCTAAATCAATGTGAAAATGGTCCCGGTTACGTGGACTCTAGTATTCAAACAGCTGATATGAATGACGGGGGTGACGGCACAACAGCGACGGCGGCAGTAGGCACGACTACAGATCCTGGTACCGGCGGTAGTCCAGTCGCCGGTGGTGGTAGTCATCGCCATCATCGTCGAAGGAGACGTAAACAGTCACAACAACAACAATCCCAGTCATTGTCACAACAACCCGCAGATATGTCGGATACATCAAGAAATGTTGGTGTCGATGATCCCGCTACTTGTGGCGGCGGTGGGATGGTGATGATGGACCGTTTACAAAACCAAGCTCAATCAGTTCGTGGTTCACAAATGGTAAAGAAAAAGTCATTAAACTGTTTTCCTATCTCTCTCTGTCATGATGATTACTTTTTTTGTTTAAAACTTGTGAAGAAGAGTTTCTATTAAATATGTATGACAGGTGGTGTTAACGACAATGATCTATTGAACATAATAATTATACAGCCTTTCGAAACTATGATTATTACGAACATTTGGCAAAAAGAGAGAGCAAGATTTGTCACAAGCTTTTATTAAGGTTAGATGTATGTTTCGTCATTGTCCTAGACTTATCAACTGCATATAAACCTTTACATCATTGACATTCGAACCCGGCACCTTTCACTGTAAATATCATTGCGTTATCTATTAAGTTACAGAGTTCAGATAACCAAATCAGCTTGGGCACTGAGTATGAAGAAAAAAGTTTGTATTTTCCTGTTTTTGATTCCCAGGTTGATCAGTCTCTGTCGATTTATATTAATCCTGTACTAATTACTTCGATATATTTGGTGTGTGGCTAGCTTTGGAATCAAGGATTACTGGTTCTTCTCACTTTGAACTCATCAAATGAATGTATCTCTCACAGTTTTTACCATCATATTCTCTAATTAATTCAATATACTTGTTTGACATATATTAGTTTAGTGTTTCAGTCCACTCACTACATGAAAATTTCAACATTATGTCGATTGGAAATGTAATTGCGGACCTTCTTCCTCTCTTTTTTTTTACATTATCTGTATAGGATATAGGTTTAGTACAGAAACGACAACATACTCTATCTCCTGGACCGTATTCCGATACAGATCCAATGATGAATGGTCAATCTAACATGCCACCTGGTCATCATTCTTATCCACATCCAAATGGATCGATGGAACCATCACCAATGTCAAGATATATTCGTTATGGTAAGTTAAACGACTATTATGGTGTAACGAGTTTTTTTTTCTGCTTTTAGAGAAAACGGATTCTCTCATTTTAATGATCAGCCACGTTTAGAGTTGTTAAAAAGTGATTAAGAATAGTCAATGTCTATCGATAGAATACTTTACTGTTGTTTGATAACTCCTCACACCAACCTGTGAATTATTGACAGAAGCTATTGAGAAATGAATCATTTTCTTAAAAAAAGCATACTGGATAGTTTTGTCGTAGTATGCGACTGTTCAACAGTACACTTCTACAACTAAGGGGATCAGATTGATGTAAAGTAGTGAAAGTAAAGTAAGATTGGTCGTTGAATGTGAACAAACAGTCACAGTCTATGGACTATTAAATATGTGATTATCCTTATTATCATTGATTTCTATTCTGGACTCACTGTGTGTGATTGCTGGTAATTGTATTGAATAAAGTATTATCTAGTTTTAATCTGATACTCGATCTTTGGGTTAAGAATCCTGTTTCTGATATAACACGATTAGTCTTATTAACGTATGATCGTAATATACGTGAGAGAGGGAAAATATTGCAAACTTGACGTTATATCACGGATCCTTTTAAATTAGTTGTGCGATTTGTTCAGGGTTAAAACCGGCTTTTCTTTAGCACTTACGTTCTGTTAACCAAAATTTCAAAAGTTTTATTTCTACAGTTACCTTTGGTTCAAATTTGGTTACTACTACCACCGTAATTTTTCGCTCGTTTATTTTGGTCAGCGCGCTATTATCAGAACTCTAGCTATGTGTAGTATTTATGACTTATTATAGCTCCCGTCTTATGTACATAAATGTATGTATATGAATTTAATTTCTGTGTTCACTGGTTTTTAGATTCACCTCAACGTGCTCCATCTGTACTGGGTCAATTACCACCTCCTAATCAACCTCCGCCGCCACCACCTCCCCCAGCTGTAGCAGCTATGGCATTCGCTGCCCAGATGAATAGCTCAGATCATAGTCGACACAATTCAATGACTTATCAACAACATCATCATTTTAATCCAGATTCCCTTTCTCGTCACATTGGCGGTGGCAGTGGGGTCGGTGCTGCTACTGGTGGCAGTTCCGGAGTTTATCACCCATCTGGTTCTGGTACTACCGGTTTATTAGTCGGTCCACCACCTCGTATACGTGACTATTCGGAATATGGCATTCCACGGGGTATTGGTCTTCCGCCGACACCAGCTGCTGCGGGAGGCGGTGGACAACCGCAACCACCACAGCACAATGTCTTGATGTCACCTGGTAGTGTCAATAATAATATCAATAATGCTAATCATGGAAGCGTGTATTATGACGGTCATTATCGCGAAGGTCAAGCATAGATTCACTTCCTTTTAGACCTATTACTAACGATTCTGCTTCTTCATTAGTTTTCCTGTCGAAAATAACAGCTTCTGTATTATAATACAAAATCATAAATGATCGATCTACACCATATTGCTTTTCCAATCATTGATTAGTATGATTATCGTCCGAATTTATTCTGTATCATAATGTGCTATCGTTTATCTTCAATGTTGTTCCTGTACGTTGATTCGTTAAACCAGCATTTTTTGTTTGTTTGTTTGCTTGCTTGCTTGCTTGTTTTTTCTCTCTCTCCTCCCGCTTGATACGTTTTTCTAATGTCTATCCTTTAAACAATTCAATCTCTGTCCATATCATTGTCAATCAGTTACGGGATATATGCACATATATAAGTGTAATTGTCACCATATTTGTTTGTATGTTATATGTGAATAAGTTATGTAAGAAAGTTTACACTTATTACTCTGTGTTTCGTTCTAATCTTTCTCGATTATTGTGGAATAGTCTGCGTATACGCATGGCTAGCTTATTGGCTTGATCTCTCTCTCTCTCTCTCTTCCCTGCCTTTGACCATCTCATGTGTGTGTTTTAAGTAGAAAAACACATAAACCGATCGCGTATTACAATTATTTTATCATTATATTGTTTCTATTCAATCTCATCTATGTTCAGTAGTCCATCAATTTGTTTGTTTTAACGTTAAAAGGTTGCCCGCTTTTTCTGAATACTCTTTTTTGGAATCCATATTACTGTTTTTTTTCTTAATTATTCAAGTTGATTTATACACCTTTCCTTTTTCCCATTCAAAAGGAATTTCACCCATATACAAACACTCTGATTAGGATGTACTAGTATGAGTATGAGTAATGTAGCAATACTACTACTAGTAATATAATTAGTAGTATTAGTCAAAATCAACACTTCCTTTTATCTTAACCATCTTATTTGCATCATATTGTACGGGTATTATTTACCTTTTTTCCCAACTGTATCATCTTTTCAAGTTTATTTCATGCATTTGTATTATATATGCACGTGTTGTATGTATTTTACCTTGTCTCCTACCGTAAACATTATCACATCTCTATATACTACCTATCTGTACTACTAATAGTAGTATTAAAAGTTACCATAACTTAATTTTATTAACGTTAATTTAACCCATATTTTCTTTTTCTCCATTTTTATTATTCTAGACTAATTATGCATGTATATTATTGATTCATTGTATTTTTTATTGGTTCTATATATGTACTTCAATTACATGTATTGTGTTTTCTTTTATCGGTTATCATAGACTATTTCGTTCTATAACCTCTCTCTCCTACCAAATTAACCAAGTAAACATTTACTGACCACACGACATGGCTACTTACTCACTAATCATCAGTTCATTCATTACTATGTCATTATTATATTATGTAATTACTATTGTTTTGTAGATATGTACAGTAATAGTATGTATATATATATATATATATATATATATGTATGTGTGTGTATGTGTTTCATTACTCTGTGTGTATGATTAAAACTTATATTTGCTTACCAATATTAATATATAATACTCTTTGACTTATTCTCTACATGAATGAATTGCCTTAATTGTCCTTTTTCATAGACAAAATTATTTTGCTTACCAGTATATCTAGGTTCTGTGTATATTCAATCCTTTGATGAAGTATTGCATACACACACACACACATCAAATCACATGTCTTTGTTGCCTTTCTTATATTCCTGCTTATTTCATCATTATTTCATTACAGAAAAAGAAAGAAACACTATCATCCCGGTTTTAAATAGCCCTTATTCACTTTGCTTATGTCTATGTAAGTGTATGTATGTATGCGTGCTCGCATGTATTCTTATTTCATTCATTGCCTCTTGACAACAAAAATGCTTACATTATTACATTATCAAGTTGTAGGTAAACCGTTTTGCATTATCCTTACAGTTTACTCTCTACATGACAATGTTTTTTTTTAAATAATGAAGTAAAGAAAAAAAAAGACTTCACAACCACACACACACACACATGCTTTTTCGAAGAAAAAAATTTCTTTCTTTTCTCTTCCAATTGTTTCTAATACCATTCATATTTTGCATAGTTTGAATAGTTGTCTTCTCTTGTTTGATTCTTTTATTCTTGACAATTCATTAAATATATATTTATTGAAATGTAACTATATTGTACGCATTCACCCTTTCAAACTCTCTGAATTCATTCTGTTGTATGTCAGTTATTTTAATGGCAAACAAAAAATTATAATCTTACGTCATGTATGCATATACTTGTATCGTCGTACGTTCCATGTCTACTACTAGCACGACTACTACTACTACCACTAATAATAATATTGATAATCATGCATCTATATATGTTAGGTGTGTAGATTGAAATTGAAACAAATGTGTGAGGTAATTACTTTTCCAAGTGATATTATGCATCTTTGTTAAATAATATTATGACTATTATTATGAAAGAATTATGTACAATTTTTATGCCGTTCACTATTCTGTTTAGTTTAATGATAGTTTTTAATTAATCAATCAATATCTGGTCATTTGTTTAAGACTAATATGTGTTCTAGTGTTTATTTATTTAAACATATCAATATTGCAATTGTTGAAATCATGAGTCAATTGAAGCTAGACCACCATGAAAAACCTGGAAGCACTGGATGGCTGTTTTTTCTTCCTAGTATAGGACTCCTCATCTGCTCACTAGTGACTGACTTCAAGAGGCATTTCTTGTAGTTTTAGTGAAAAGCTGTGACCAGTGAAGTTCAACCAGGTCTGTTGTGAGATATCAGCTCATTGAAGACAATGGTGTACGATGGCGCAATTTCGTGGATTGGTTGAAGTTAGATATTAACACCGTTGGATGGCGGCTCAGTGGTCTAATCGTTAAGCACTCACGTGCGTGACTGATAGGTCCTGGGCTCGAATCTCACGGGGGCGGGATCGTGGATACGCACTGTTGCGGGGTCTCATACTAGGACGAAACGGCCGTTCAGTGCTTCCAGGTTTTTCATGATGGTCTAGCTTCAATTGACTCGTGATTTCAGCAATTGAAATTTCTAAAATCTCCACAATATCCCTTCTGATATGAATATTGGTACAAGGAGGCACAAAACATGTTTATATATGCGCCACACAAAGCATTCGATTTGTGTGAGGGTTGGGATATTGTCCGGGTGCCCAAATCGAAGCAGGTAGTTTCCTTAGGGGGTCACACTCCGAGCTTTTGACCTAGAGGTCTAATCCACAAGATAGTGGGGCAATTTTAGGAGATGCAGTTCCATGATAGCCAGTGACCAATAATTGGTTCATACACCTTTTGTTCCGTGGAGCCTTTGTGCACCATTGGTTTGAACCTCCTATCTAGCTAAAATGTACTGTCATCGTTATTCTGGTATAGTTGAATGACTTAGGTTGATACATTTTGTACTAAGTTTTACGTTATTCACGACAGGTCACTACTACTGACGGAGTTCGAACCTCTTCGTAGTTAGAGATGTTTTATCTCAAGACGCAAAATTCTGACTATTATTGTCCTAACCTGCGTCTGCTATTCCGCCTACAGTCTAGCGTTCTTAGCCTTGAACAATGATACGTCCTGACTGGCAAAAGTGATCTTGAGTTAACGCAAGCTACCCTCGTACCTTCAAGCACTTCTCTATATCCAGCGTTTAGTTCAAAAAGTCAGCAGCCAACCTCTTATTTTATTTCAATCAGTCAGAACACACAAAAATAATCTCAAACACTTACTGGCTTATGTACACGGACTGAAAAGCTAACCGAATGAGAATTCATAGTTTGGATACAATCATGCCATAAGTCATAGAGATCGAAGCAAACAGTACATAATTAATTAGCAATATTTAAGTAATAGTAAGATGTATAACGATAGTTAATAGGTCCATTGAGAGCTTGCGATAGGTTAAATATAGTAATACGATTATACAGTTATCTGTTAATTATACAGTAAAAATGTAAATCCCTTGGGTCGTGATCTAGTTCTGCTGATCACTTGGTAATATGGTCATTAGTTCAGATGACGCTATATTGCTTGCAGTGTGTTGATAATGTTAAACCGACAGGAAAAACCTTGTTTCGACCTAGGTTTTATGCTAGTTAATACTCGTCAGGAAGGTGTAACTGTTTATTACATTTGAACAACCAACATTCGTTAGTTTTCTTTTAATACCTAATTATTAGGCGGGTACTCAAGGTTGCTCAGAGGTTGTCTACAAATTATAGCCTCACTAGTTTCTTGTCAAATGATATAATTTAATAATTGAATTCATGGGTTGATTGGAGCTAGACCACCATGGAAAATCTGGAAGCATTGGACGGCCGTTTCGTCCCAGTATTGGACTCAGCAGTGCGCATCCACGACCTTGCCTCTCGCGATTCGAACCCAGAACCTATGAGTCTCGCGCACGAGCACTTAACCACTAGATCACTGAGCCAGCATCCAGCGGTGTTAACGTCTAACTGCGACAAGTCCAGTGCTTCCAGGTTTTCTATGGTGGTCTAGCGTCAACTGACTCATGAATTCAACTATTAAATTACTATAATATCCATAAAACCCTTTCTGATTAAAATGATATACATTTGACTCATCACATACAATGGAAGGATGACTCAATGATCTGGGCAAAATATGATTTTTTTTAAACAATTATATTACAATCCCCGGTCGTACTGTAGTCATTGCATAATTAATGTAATTTTCGGTTCAGTGAACAAGAAACTTGCTTATCTTGGTTACTCATTCTGAAATCCCAAAGTAACATTTGTGTTAATAAACAATTAAGTCAAATGAGATATAGTTGCATAGACCTAAACTAAACTAGTATCATTATACTTGACAAGTGTGGAGCGGTCAAAATCGAGTAGTCAAACGTGTATTCAATAAATGTGATACATTCATTAATCATGATATATAAGTGAATAAATAGACAAAGTAGTCAGATTTTTATACGTTAAATTTTCCTGTTTTGTTTAT